TTTATTCATTGGGGGGGGGGGGGGGGGGGTTGATGGTGCCCATATATGTTCTGAATGAAGCGAAACCGTTCAATGTAATTGAGAATTTTAACGGGTAATTTTTATATGTTAATAGACTGCAAAACAGCACTGAAACCAAATACTGCAAGTTTTATGAAAATGAATACTGATAATTATTCAAATTACACTTACTTTGTATAAATTGTGAATTTTGGCCACTAGAGTTTAAAAGAATGTGATAGAATAAAAAGTAACTAATATGTTTTTTTGTTAAATAAAAATGTCAAAACTCTGATTTTCTTTTAAATATTCCTGCAAAGAAAAAAGAAATAAACATTCCCACTAATTTATTCCCCAATTTTATTCATCTATTCTTATTCTTCAGCTAAAAAAGGGAGATGGAGGGAGGGGGAGAGAGGGGGGAGGGAGGAAGAGAAGGAACCATATTTGAGTTTTTTGCATAAAAGAAAAACAACTTGAAATGAGGAGTTGACATCGGCGCAGCGGTGTCTTACCATTGGGACTGCCATGAGAATCAAGATGAACAGCTGTTTCGGGAAGGTCGCCATGCATATTGTTGAGGAGGGAGTAGATTATTCCAGCTTGCGAGTTCTTCCCTACCGCAATAACTAACATCCTTCCCGACCCCTCCATGACGTGGGTTCCTAAGGAAAATAACAAAAATAAAATCGTAAAGAATCTCTCAAAAATCCACACAGTCTGAACAATTGAAGAGAATCAAGTCTACTTAGATTAGATCACCTTTGTTGGCGACAATAAAATCTTCAAGACGTTAGATAATGATTTGAAACAAGTGATAAGGTTGTAATCAGGAAGGTAGTACACTAATTGCAGATTAATCGCTTATTAGGAAAATGTATAAATTAGACTCAATATCAAAAATATTTACTTCATAACTATGATATAAGTAGATTGTGGACAGTAAAAATTGGCTTAAAAGTGTGAAGACTAATAAATTACAATCAAGAAGGTTTCCTGGACTTATTATTATTCATGGATCGCTGTTTTTGTCAGTGAACGGACCTCTAGTCTACAACGGACTTGACAGACATGCTTTCAGAACATGTCATTTCATGGCGCCAACTCTCCATTGCGCAATCAAAGTCAATAAGTGATTTCTCTTTTCTCCGTGATCAATATAATTTTGATCTGTCATTAAAAAACCGTTTTGTCCATGATCTTAGAGGCAAATAGCAGGCGCAAAATTGTAAGTTCAAGGCAATTTGAACCACCTTTGTCTAAATGATGTGATAATTCAAGGATTATAAATGAGATTTTTGTATCCCATATGATGTCACCTTAGTGATCAAGTAATTCCAGTAAGTAATAACATTTGTCTTTGTTTAACGCGATAATCATTCGTAGGAGCAACTAAAAATAGATATAGGCCAAAATGATGCCATTCACACTTAATGTTCATCAATAATTGAGGAAAATGTCCAAATTTAGCAGTAACAATTACGGTTTAATTAATGTAGGCAATAACCCGTTTTCGCGCCTGCGTAATAAAGTAACTAACACCGCTTCAAATTGGAAGCAACATTGAGAAGGTAACTGGAATCACGAGATAAAACAGTTCAACCAGAAATACTGCAAGGAAAACTTTGATCAATTCTTAGTGAAATAAAATAGGGAAACGTTTCTAGTTATAAAAATATAACTTAACTATTCCAGAGCTCCAAGAACGTTTGTTTATTTCGATGACATGAACACCCAATCGATTCGACCAATTCGTCAATAATTTCTGATCGCCTTTAACGTTCATTCACATCAAATTCTCGGATTTAAAATTAGGGATAGTAGATTATGATGTAGTTAAATTTAAAAAAAACATACAACCTGATGATTCCAGAATTCAACTTATGGAAGATTATTTTGAAATTCTATCATTATTTTCTCCTTCTATACGTCTTTCAAAGTTCACAATACACTGGGCTTTATTAGCTTCCTTCACTCCCAGATACCTTATAGTAATAAAAGTGCAAAAAATCCTTTTTGATAGATATTAATAGAAATGATAAATCGGATAATGATTAGAAAGGTTCAATTAATTGCATGAAGCACTTCGTGCAGTAAGTACCGTGGGGGTCAGGGTGGGGGGGGGGGCTGTTTTCCTCATGTATTTGCCCAGATTGGCAACAAAATAGAATGTGGATTAATATGCGCTAGCGGAATTATGCAATCAGAGTCGGTGATTGGTTATTCGATTTTAAATGAACACCTTCCGAACTACCACTAATCTGCTTAGACTATATGATTTAAAAGGTTGAGCAATTATTATTAAGGGGGTTGCCGGACTGAAGAGTCTTAGTGGCGAGAGATTTGATGACGCTGAATTTTTCCGTTTCAGGTTTCCATTTGAATTTTTATTCGCATTATGGCAGCCAATCAAATAAATTTATGTAATTTTCTAAAAGTGCACAACTGAGAGAGACCTGGCGTCAACTGAGTCCCACCTCATTGAACATGACTATTTTAAGTATTTGAATAATTACGTCAATTATTAGGAATGAAGCCAAGTTAATCCTCATTTTGAAAAGCCCGTAAAATCCTCGTCCATAAACGAAGGCGGATAAGGTTTTGCATTGAAAATACGCTTTCTCAACCAAGTATTTCATAAATGTAGGGGAAATGGGGATTGCTTATTTAGCTGGATAAATGCAATTATTTAATAATAATTCTTTGAAGTTAAGCTAAAGTAAGTGTAAATTCATCCTAATTTTGATACGCACTACGCAGAGCTGTAGATTTAAGGCTTCATTCAGGTCTATTTAAGGATTTTAATTGAGACTTCGCTCGATAAAGGATGTTGGTTTGAATTCCATGCAATCACCTATGTGGATTACCCATTTGAATACGCGAGAATGCATTCCTGCTGGTTGGGTTGGTTTGCAAGTAAATGAAGCATGCAACGACCTTCATGTCATTCAAATTGACCATTAACAATACGGCATCGAGGAGTTTAATAAATATGTGCTTTATAGTCATCATAACCTTAAATGTACACAATTTACGGAATTTCCAGCCATCTCCAATCTGACATAATAACAAGTGTAAGGTGGCAAATATTGACAAACATTTAATAAAAGAACCAAAGTGAATGAGCAGGATGGAACCTTCTTGGCAAACAAAATGGACAAGCATTTATTAAAATTCATGGAAAAAACAGAAAAATCCTAACTTTGGAACCCGCTATACACATTTAATAGATATTGTACAACCTGAATTGAGCCATCAGGTGAATCGAGGTGCTTTTCAGTCTAACTGAACAACATATTACTTGGTTTCGGTTAATTCGCCCAATTAAATATGGTTGTATTTTTTCTGTGGTTTATAATACTAATATTACTTTCGTATTTTCAATACTAAAATAAAGTTCATCTCGCATTCCTTTGATAGGACATCGATCATCAACCTCGACAGTTTGTGGACAAAATTCGAATTACGAGAATTGGGATTGTGTATGGCAACGTACAATCAGAGTCAATTTCTAAAAGAAAGATTTTACTCAGAAGCCGTGTACTGGCTATTGCGTGTAACTGAATGAAAGAGGTAGGAGCTTCTCAAATTTTTCAAAATACACTTTGAAAACAAATGAACTGGCCTAAACGAAGGCCACTTCTAATTCCTTCTACAAAGAGGCAATTGGTTAATGGACAGATTTGCGTTGCTATATATTTGCAAGTTCTATAAAATAATTTAAAGCAGACGCTGAATGCAATTTTCAAAATGTTCAATTAGAAATAATTGAAAATGACGGAATAAACGCCTGGCATAAGCAAAAAATGCCAAAAGGCAAGTCGTCTTCCAAATAAATGCCCATTTCGTCCAGTGGATCGTGTTGTACGTGTGTGTATGTGTGTGTTGCGTATTTCGATGGAGATTTGAAAGTAGCAAGCCCTTAATGGACACATTCAGCAAGCTAGTTTTTGTTAGGCTTCATGGGTAAGTGCTTAGCTTCCAAAAAATGTGAATCACCCAATATGAACGCCGCCACGAGGCAGTCTTCGCTGCAGGGCCTGTATTTTCGGTGTCTGTTTCGAAAAAAACGCCTTTTGCTTTGCCAGGGCAGTTGCAAGCCCGCAAAAAGATTTATTACGGTGAAGATGGCAATTAAAATCGGGAAATTTAAGAAATAATAACCGATATTCGGTTGATTATGGGAAAAAGCGTTTCTGTTTATAAGCCAAAACTTATAGCATCTAAACATTTCTCCATGGCCAACTAATGATGCGTTTACGTCCCTCATTTTGATTGCTATTAGTTATTTTCATGAATCAATAGGCCCAATTGTTTTCACCTTTTTGAATACATTTTCATAGTATTGTCATGCGGTTTAATAATTGTTTAGGCTTGCAACTTTCCAACGCGCTTATTTTAATTCCGAAAAAAAAGATTGTCTCTTTAGGTAAGCAATCAATACTCGTAATTAAAATCTTGCGTTTAATCAAGGAAATTAATTCATTTTCGAATGAATGTGTATTTTTATCACTTGTCTGTCTTTATTAACTGAGTTCTATTTAAAGAACGTGTATTTCTTCACGATTGTACTAGAACATAATGAGCCCGGTCAAAGTCACGCAGAGGGAAGCCATGTGTATCATCATTAAAACTGGAGCCTGTAAAGGTCAACATATATTTCACACTCCACCTATGGCTAAATTAAGCTTCACTAATAATTAAAAACATTTTAGGCCAGTTTAACTTCTTAGTCCCTTAAAGTGAAAACTACAAACGAAAGTCGACGATCTTTATATGTGAAAAAATGGACACTTAATAGCCTTTTTGTGCTTGTCAGAGTCCAATATTTGTCAGTAAATACTTATGGCTGATCAAGGAATGTTCAGATCAACAAATACAAAAAATATTTAAAATATTTCTTTAGAATCCACTTAAAGATCAACTGTTTAAGATTCGCTCATGTCACCTCTTTTGCTCTCCTCACTATTACCCTCGTCTGTTGTAACGATGACGAAGAGGGTGTGAGCGTTGCATTTGACCGAAAAGAGTTTACTTTGAATAAAATCTGATGAGCATTGATATATTATAAACTTTATTAAAACGGAATTGGAACACATCGGGATGGTAGGATCAATCATGAAGATAAATCTGGACACGTTCATAATGAGCAAATTCTGACTCATGAATCTTAATTTGATCCATACGAATTCAATTCAATTCCTAATAAGGAGATATGAACATCTAGAGACTTCTGAAATTCTAAATAAGACTTAATAAGCTGCTTTCATTTGAGCCCTTTCTCCGATAAACTACGGTTCCCATCATTAAATGTCCTTCCTTATGATTTTAGCATCATTACGGAAATTAATTATAATTATTTGAAGGATTCATTCACCAGAAAGAAGTGTTGGATCCAGGGTGGTGCTTTTCTTGACGTGATCGGATTCACCGGTTAGAGAACTCTCGTCGATTTTTAGGTCTGTCGATTGAAGAACAACTCCATCGGCTGGCAACAGATCACCTAAAATGAAAGACAATGCTTAACTTAGTAACTGGGATGGTGAATTTAAGCATCTTGTAAGCAGTCAAATTTAGTTTGTTTATCAATATCGATAAAGGAAAGTAATTACAAAGTTAACACAGTTTTAATCAACATCAAAAATGACTTTTCTTGGTAATTGCGACCACGTAAGAAAAAGTTCATACTGCTTTCGTACTGAAGGAAGACATGTTAATAAACAAGGTTCAAGATGTTACTTTAGAAAGAGAGTCATGACATTTTTTAAAGTTAGTGGAAACCAAATTGAGCACTTTTGGCAACCCTGAATAAATTGCATCTCTCAGAAATCGATAATTGATTATTGGGTTCTTAGACCCCCCCCCCCCAACTTATAATAGTCGTTTCGCCTCCACGGTAACTATCGTCAACTTTGAAAGAAAACAATTTTTTTATATAAAGATTTATATATGATCAAATTAATGGAGCTTCTACTTTAAATGACAAATTACCAATCATTTTATTGAGTCCATATAGTAGGCAGCGCATGTGCTTGTAATTATTACCATAAATTTGTATGTCAAAGTAACATCTCATTAATTATTTGGCATCTATTTCCATTAGCAAATGTTTCAAATCGTCCTTTCAAAACCAAGAATGAACGATGGGTCGCATTTCGGTTTAAGTTTTAACCTGAGCATTATCTTACCCTTTCAAGTAGCATTCAAATAATTCGAGTCTTCTAGAAGCTTTATTGTTCAAGTGAATTCAAAATGGGCTTTAGAGGTATGGAGAACGTGCAGGAAATCCGCTAATCTTATGATTTCTGTAGCTACGTTATCGAGGGGAGAGGGGTGGAGGTGGGGAGAGGGGGAAGTGGTCTAGAGGTTACTTAGAATGCTTTGCATTTAATTAACCCAACAATTCCTTCTTTTTTACCTAGAATTTTGTAATTCAAAATCGCTTTTAACCTAAGTGCTAAACTGCTTTGTTTAAATGAAATTTATAAAAAAAAATTTATGTAAGAAGCGTTAAAGTGATCTAAAAATAGAGCAAAATTAAAGGCCGTGCTAAGTGTTGACACAAAGCTACGCTCAGCAAGATTATATGTATATATGACTTCTAGAGGCAATTTAATGGCCACAAACCAGAAATTCATCTACTTATTCCATTTTAGGGTTTTATGACTCCCTTTACTTAATGTAACAAAACATATTTTCAACTATGTATGAACTGCTAAATTAAGTTGACATGGTTTAAGATTCAAAGAGCCCTTTAAAATTGACTCTTTTAGTGACAAATTAAAGTCCTTAAACCCACAGAACTGAAGTATTTATTATTTTAAAAGCATCATAAATGAGTAGTTTGAAATTGACTTCCAATCTGAGTCTGTGTCAATTTCTTCATAGCCAATGCCTCTTCTAAATTACGGTCATATTATTTTCATTAATATTATAAATGAATAATCAATTAATCCTCAATATTTTTCCTGCAATATGTGTCAGTTCCCGTACCATTTGTTTTTTTGCGGAATAGGAGACAATCCGTTCAAGAGTTTGCGCCAATATTTTTTGAGAGGGGTCAACTTAATGATATTTAAACAAATGCTTTTGGAAATAGCATATTTGGAAAACTCTCTGCTTGCAATAGTTCCACCACAAGTGCTTGTCTTTCATCTTGAAAAGTCCATTTCTCCAACTATTTCATTTATCTGATGGCTTCCAAACCTAATGGCTCAAGGCATAATATCTTAAAGGGAAATTTAACGATGAAATTTTAAGTAAAGAGCATTGTCATTTATGTGTGCCAGTATTAATGATCACAAACAGTTGTAAAAATATAATCTCTTATCGAAATAAAAATTTCCTGCATGCTTGAATTGCTTAGGATAAAGAGTCCCTAATTACAAGTTAGGCCCATTGATAAACATTGTTTCGATCTCAATACAACAGCATGCCCATATGAGACTTAAAATCAATTAATGAGCCTCATTGATTGGTTCTAATGTATATTCATGCAAACGTTACGTAAAACTCTTGTCAGTTAACACGTATTCTTACTAATTGTGTTAGTTAGTTAGTTATATTCATTTTACTAGAATTAAATCACTGCGAAAGTTTAGCGCCCCACCTATTCGCTATAATTGAAGCTGGAAGTCATGTGGATACTCTTGTAGAGGTTTGCAAGAAAGAGGGAAATAAAATGATTTTGAAGAGTTACAGTTACTTCCATCAGCAGTTAGATTTGAGCAATTTACTGAAGTGGTTTTTTATAGCTAAAATATCTCTTGAATTGGTATCTTAGACAATAAACTAAAAGCAACGTTTGTAATAATTGTTTTTGAATTTGACAAATTAACATGCTTTAAGCGTCAACTTGGAGTTCCATGGGTTTATCATTGCTCGAATTGAATTTTTTGAAAAAAATATTAAAGTTATTTGCGTTGCTTACTTATTGTTTTAACTTTATTTATTGATTTTAAATGTTTATCTTCACAGAATTCCGTGAAATTCACCTTGAAAAGCGTAAAATTTGTCAATAGTATTAAAATCAAAGAAGTTGCATAATGCCTCACCATATTTCACAAGACATACGTCTCCAACAACGATATCGGCGATCGATATATCCTTGATGAGACCACCCCGAAGAACTGTGAATTTCTGTTCAGCCTCAATTCGATTTTGAAGGCCACGAAACTGCTTCTCCTTCTGCCAGTCATTGACTGCTACCACCAAAACCACTACGATAACAGCAACTAGAATAGCAACACCTTCAATCCAACCTGTCTCATTCTCTGAAGGTTCGCCATTTGTGCGAGAGGGATTGACTGAAAGAAAATGAAGGACTTATCAACTTGGTACTCGTACTTCAAGGCGGTTCGCAGAACAAGTTCTGTTCTCTTTCCCAGGAGAAAAGTTATAAAATATTGAGTAAAAAAACAAATAGCAGCTTGTATTTATTTAAAATTCTATATTTCAAATTTCAGAGTTGTTTCCACTAATTTATTTAAAATTTTACCCAATCTGCAATCGCACCCTATGAAGAAGAATGGGTGAAATTTAACGACCTCTAACAACTCTATTGACAATATTATTATTATCTTTGATTTTGTATTCTTTAAAACAAATAGGTATCGAGAAAGGGAAAACTTTACTGTTTAAGTTAATTTGACGATACTGAATCATCTTAGCAACGCTTATAAACGAGGATCTTGCCAATATATGGCTGTGTCATTTAAAACAACTTAAAATTAATTTAAACCTTGCTCAGTCGAAAGCATAAAAACAATTAGTAATGATAAAGAAGTTGAAGAACTATCGAAAGACATTGCTTTTTCAAAATTACAAAAAAAATTGATCAGTTGGTCAGTAATTTTTAAAAAAAAGCTTTTAAGTCCTCTGATTTGGCTCAATAAGAATCAAATAATGAACGTTAAAAGCGAAGGAAAAATCGATTTATAGAAGGAAGTAATTTAAACTCATTGAGAGTCCTGCATGTTTTAATAAAATTATATGTATCTTATTAAAATCAGCCAATTAAGAAACATTATTGATCTGTATCGCTTCAAAAATGGTATTGGCTTATTCCTTTTTTTCAAGAAAAAGTGAATTTGGCTCACGCCTCCAGCATTTACTTCAAACGGAACTTCAAAGCCAGCTAAGAAGACGAAAAGCACCGTATTGAGCACCAAAAAAAATAAATTAGTTGAAATCACAGACTTTTAACTCCTATTATTTCAATGTTACAAGTTCTGAAAAATATGTCCATCTTTATTTGCCAATCATCTTCTCTTTTGTGCACCTTTTGACGCAGTCTTATATATATTACCTTTGTCCTTCACACAAAACTGTCCATCAAGTAAGTTTTTCGAAATTGATTACTACATATTGCATACGACTGTTTAGCTCTTAATTGACACTTTCCAAACCTACCATATTTTCTCCTGTTTCTTTAAATTTAAACTAGGTGGATTGGATTTAGTTTTCGTCCCATTTACGTTCAATACCTAATTGTTTCCCATAACTAAAAGAATTTCTCTCCTCAGTCTAATTAATATTATTAAAACTATCGATTTTTTGTAAAAATGGGGAATAGAAACAGGAATAGCAACGTTAAACTGCTAGAGATCAGGAATAATCTCCAAGAAGCAGAACAATATTTCCGGTGAAAACATTTCCATAGATGTAATCACAACTTAAGCAGAAAGAATTCATGCAAACTTTATATCTTAATGGACTACAAGCTCAAAGAAAGCTAAAATTATTATATAGGGCGGTTGAAAGGTTACCCAATAATTCCGATAATCGTTCCTACTTAAAAAAGTGTTGAAATGGACACACAACGTGCTTTAAAATTCAAAATTTTAAATTATTCAAGAGCATTCGCTAGTTGCAAATAAAATGGCCTGTGGCCTATAATCATCGGGCGGAAACTTTGAACTCAAATAATTAATTTTGGAATTTCAGAGTGAGTTACTAATTCAGTGCTTTATTCCCATTTGAAGGCCATGAGATTTTGTGCAAGGTGACTTTTAATTCCCCCCCGCCCTCCCATGCACGTCTGTGTTTATTTACTAAAAATGAAATGCAATTAAAAGTTGATAAATATATTTTAAGCAAATTTTTTTGCTGTCATCATCATTAACAAAATGACTTTTATTTGCATTGTGGCTTAGTAAATCATAAGACCCACCATTATCGAATAAGTAAATAAATCTTGGCGGTTGTCAGTTATTTTATCATTATCATCTGAAAAAAAGTCATCAGAAAAAGATTTCAGGCTCGAATTTACCTTAGCAAAGTGGTGGCACCTTGAAATATGAGTAAAAAAGACCAGCGGTGGTAGTGATTCGGAGAAGAGCACTTTCCATTATAAAGTTTTCATGATAATGGAATTGAGAATCAAATTCACTTCTTGCACTGAAGTCAGTGTCCACTGGCCTTCTTCAGAGAAAGTGATAAATTTGACACATAAATCTGTGACCTTACTGTTGAAATTTTATTACCCCTAAAAGTTGATTTGATGAAGTGAAGCTCTCTTTATGGGGGCGTATTTTTCTAACGCCATTAAATAGCTTTGAAAGCCACATGCTTGCAACCAGATCAAACTCAATCAACGTAGAGTGGACTATGGTTTAATCAAATCAATTTACTCTGAATTCTATGGACCTAGACTCAAAGATCAAGTAGGGGAAACGACGTTTTAAATCATTCCAATAAGTTAATGTGACTCAACTTCATGAAGGCTTGTGTGCATTCAGTTTCGAGCATTTTACCGCCCGTAGAAATTTAAACAATTAACAATTTTATATTATAATTAATTGTATAGTAAATTATTTACTTATTATTAAAATAAAACTGTCGCTCTTATCCGCCTACTCATGATCCAAATAAGGTAAAAATGAATCAAGTTTGAATAAAGATTATTTAGGTTAAAATAACTTGTGAACAGGCTTTGAATACCCAGAACAAGAGCTCATATTTATTGTTAAGTAAATAATTATTAGAAAAAAAGTGTGGTGACCTCAAAACTCTAATAAAGCACTACAATTGACTTCATTACTTCAATAACACCCTTTTTAACCAAAACCTGTCAAACACATTTTTTTTGTATTTCTCAGTGCGGTAATCATATTTTTGCAACTACCGGCAGAAATATTTAAATTATTCAACCCACTCGGGTAGTTGTCCTTAAACTTACCTTGCTTAATATTGAAAAAGAATACACTTTAGAATAATAAAGTTATAAAGGCGACTCGTGCCATTTATTTGATATTGATGAAGGAACCATGAAATTGCAAGATAAGGCTGAACTATGAATCTCAAATAACAGGGAGTTCTCATCTCCCCGAGATCTAAGTCAATACAGTTATGCATCAAATTACACAGCACAGCATATTCTATCTTGTAGGTGCACTAACTAAGTATCCCTAATATCCTTTTTTTCTGAAAAATTCATCATGTCTATTCAGACTTCAATTAATTATTCAATTGTGGTTAAGTGGTCGTGATTTTTAAAAGCCCTAGGTAAAATTTTATTGATGTAAAGTTAGGAACAATGAAAAAAATAAAATAAGCACACAAAGTGTGCCCACAGTATAAAGCGGGTTTAAAGTAGATATGTTAAAGATGAAGGACTTTCAAAACAATTTTAATCAGAAACTTAGATAAATAATTCTTGAATTAAAATATGAAAAGCAGTGCAAAATTTAATAAGGAGGCTAGATATGTAATAGTTTTAAATTCAAATAAATGAACTTTACATTTCATATATAATGAAAGGCCAAGGGAGATTATTGCAGCACCAATAAGAACGAGAAGGGTTTTGTCTTGTAGAGCTTCCCAGATAAGTCGGAATATGGATTTTGGAGGCTTCTGAGGTATAATGTTAGGTCCGTAAATTTCTCGCTGCTTAACTACGTCAGTGTCATTCAAGCCTAAATATTAAACATTAATTTTATTAATATACATGTAAGCTTTAGGAATTGTAAATATGAAATGACATAAGAAGTAAGTTGAGTAATTAAAGGCAGTCTAATAACTCTCACCCTTATCTAAAGAACTAGAAAGGGCTTTCGATAAACCCGCATATCCATTAAATTCTCTATGTATAAATTTGACAACTTCTTTGCCCCTCAATTCCATTAGGAATTGAAGTGTCTGAGGAGTACATTGGATCTTTTGCGTTGTTGATGTCATCGTTGAAATATACCTAAAATGCAAAAATTGAAATTTTTAAAATCTTTTTTTGAACTCAGCTTCCGAACTAACTAACAATAATGAGAAATTTGATAAGTAACATTTGTAAACTTAAATAGTACAACTTTATCAAAATAAATTTTATTAACAAATAAAATACTAATTGATTAGCGCATAAAAATATTACTCAATTAAAATGGCCTGTTTATTTCTTGCTCATTTGTGTATATTGAAACGATAAAAACGCGAACTCCAAAACGTACTTAATAACCTTGTTAACCAATTTGATAGATTTTAACAAGCGCAACCTTAAAAGCTGTCAATGAAATTTTGGAATATTTTTGCACATTATAGAATGTATTATGATTATAATATTTGTTAGTTTTGAATTTTTATAATTTTTTAATTTTGCTAAAAGTGTGCAAATATCATTCCTTGTTATCATCAATTTTCTACACCTATTTAGGCTTTTGTTAATACCTAGTATTTTAGATTGTTAATTTTCAATTTATATTTTAGCTAGCGTTATTCAAAAGCGTTTTTTCTATTTAGATGAAACTTGTCGATCAGTCCAATCTCTAGTTAGTTCTTATGTAAAATTAAATAATAATAATTCCCGTTTACATTTGGAATATGCTTTTAGTTCTGTCTAAACTGCTCCCATAGTCAAAACATTTGATAAGCTTTCAGTAGAATTTAATATATGTATGTTTATAACCATTTCTTCATTATAACACTATCTCGTGTAAATAGAAAATCTTAATAGGTCCTTCAATTTGTAGGACTTTTGCTAACGTCGTGTATAGCGCTATTCCAAGTTGAATCATTGGATACTTGTTTTTTATTGTCTGATATGGTTTCGTTCCAATCAAAATTGAATATCTTAGTGATATACATATAGGTATCCAAGTTGAAAGTATTGTTTTCATATTGAAATGGGAAGTATTATCTCAGAAGTAATAAATTTAATTAAATTCTTCATAAGAGTAAGCTATAATTATAAGTAAATTCATTCTCGTCGAATTTTTCTTAAAAGCCAATTATTTTGCGCATATTTTATTTAATCCGCAAGTCCACTGATTCCTTCATTCAATGGATCTATGATTACAAGTTGTACAAAATGAGGTCCACGAACGTATACCTGAAGCGAGCTTTTTTATTCTGCATCTCTTTGCAACCACCAAGAATGTTTTCGTTTTAAAGCAAATTTTGTATAAAATGAAGTGTATTTTATTAGTTTTGCTCACTGCTTCTAGTGCTATCAGTGAAACGAGGTGATTGACACGTGAAATATTAGTCCCAGTGCATCTTATTTTAGATTAATCAACATTTCAAAAGCTGAATCATATACAATTTGATGGCCAACAAGTAGGATCGCAACATCTGTTTTAGCGTACTTGGCATAAGTTTATACTCCCAAAGTTTGGATCTTGACTTTGTCAGCTGCGTGCTGCGTCTGAAGTCGAGTAAAAAAGATATAGAAACGTCATGTTTTAAATTTAATTTGAGGCTACTTAGAAAGACTCTAGGTCATTATAGGGGAAAAAAATTTGAAATAAACAGATATTAATGCTAGAATAGAGAAAAAATATATAGTCGGTATGTAGGTAGATATTTGAATAGGGGGTATTTAGAAACGAATGCCTTATTATCGAGTCCACAATTTCCAGGATCGGCAATTTTACGAACGAAAGTACGTACAAATAACTATTTGTCATATTCTCTAAAATTCAAAATCCCACTACAATACGCATCAAGCACTTTAGTTGGGCAGAGTGAGAACACTCTGAAGTTGCTGATAAGTATAACTCGCATTCCGCCTGAATTAAACAGTCAGTTCACATGGTCATTTAAATTACTAGATGTACACCGATAATCAATGATTTCTTGAGCCCTGACTACGCAGTCTGTGAGTACAAATCGGTGAAATGACCAGAAAAAAAAACAATGAAAGGCATTTATGGAGAATCATTTTTAAATTGTTGTTAATATTCAATCTAGAAGCCCATTTGCTTTAGGGTTCATTCGGAACTCCATCACCCAAACTCTCAACTGACTTGTTTGAGTCATTCTTTGTACTCAAGTATCTGAAAGTCCATTCACTTCTCTTGTTCCTTCTCAGTAACTCATAAAGCGGACATTGTATTTAACCCCATTGTCGCTTACTTAATGGCGCGGTTCCCACTCTCATTGTTCCAATCTCCTCTCTTTCATTCAGTCATCATATTTATGCCATAGACCTTGGTCTACAGTCGCAGCTCCTGATGATTTGCCCTTTTGGAATCGCGCTTACATGCTGTCAACTACTAGTCATTAAACCAACTTCTCACGCCTATAAGCTTCAGAATATGTGAACCGAAAGTGAACCACTTTATGAATTTAATGATCAGATATTTCAACTTTTTCCTTAATTGTAATTGAATTTCTAATTTTTAGAGTTCAATTTACCTTATTTATTTCAGGCTTTGATTCAAATGTACCATTTACAACAGTGGCCAGCATGCTTATGTGCTACCGAAGGCTTTAATGCGTGAGGTTGCCAATGCAATATTTGCTATCTTCTCCACAACTTTTCTAACATTTGAGGTTGTGCCAGGGAAACTGATATTTGAAGGAAAAATGAAAATTCTTCTATAATATCTGAATTTATGAAGAGATTGACGAAATATTTAGATAGATCATACACTCAAGAAATCTCATGGAGCAATCGCAACTGCGTAGTAGTTAATATATTGGAGATCTCACTCAGGCCATATTCGTCACGGACTCTGAAATGCTTTCATCCCAGTGGGTCACAAATCACTTCACTTAAATTCGACGGGAAAATTCCTTTTACAACATTTATAACACATGCTTAAAGGCTAAAACAAGACCTTAATAAAAAGGAAAATATTTAATCCGGACCATATAAACACACGTTTCCATTTGCGCTCACTTGATAAAGCTTGTCTGCTAGAAATTTGGCAGGTTATATTAACTAGACGCTCTGCTTCAAAGAAAAAATATCAGGATAAAGTTTATTTTATTTGCCAGCAAAATTTGTGCTTGAATGATGTCATCATTGGATAACAATTAACGATAGCTTCTTTTATTAAAAAGCATGACGTCTTTGATGCTCTATGTAACAAAGATACTGGTTCGGAGTCTGAATGAATAGGTTACTTGTCACTGAGTACAATTTCAACACTATGGATAGTATTCAAGTATGTGCTAATAAAATTTTTACAAAACTAACAACTACCAGTAATCAAGCACTTGAAATTCCTATTTCTCATTATGATCGGAGAACAGTGATTCTATCAGTATTACAATAGCAATGGTTGCATTTATCTGCTTCGTATTTAAATGCTTTAGTACGAATTCTCGTGAATTAAGATTTGGAAATTGACACTGTTTTTCCCATGTCCAATGACCTAAGCGATTTACCTGTGTAAGATCTAGTACCTGACTGAACATTACCTGTCTTTCTGGGTGTGCGATAGACTTACCTCCACGTGGTGCACCCTGGGCAACGTATACTCATACGGCAAAAAAGTCTATAAACCGGCAGTTGACTCCTGACTTCAAACTGCCATGACCCTACTGTATGTCATATTCCACCACTTTCACAGTACACACCTCACCTTTTTTCTACCTTCGTCTTTAAAACACTTTTCTGTTCCCCCCCCCCTCTCTCGACTTTCTTTCACTTTGATATTTCTTCCCCTCTGTGAAGCCTGAAGTCAACTAAAGGGCTAAGGATAAACGTCAAAACGCCTGCCATTTGATATAAATAAATAAATCTTTCTGGCCCGAAATCCACTGAATCGTAAAAAGGAAAAGACTTCCATCCAAATGGGGCTTAAATGAGAAATTCACCCAATTGCTCAATATTCTACTAATGATCTTCGTGGATTAAAAATCGATTTGTAGACGGCAGCGAAATTCGGAGCTATAGCCGCAAAAAAACACAATTTGTCGTGTGTTTTACCTATCTAGCTAAACTCCAACACTTAGCTTTCCTAAGTGATTGAACTAGTGCCTACTATCAGAAAAATCCACACATTCGTATTATTAGGTAGTTCAAATAACGGAATTTGCGAGCATATGCGGTGCATCAACCAGGTAACCACTTCTCGGGTTGCAAGGTTAGAGAACTAAAAGTTGACCTTAAGTGAAGAAATCAGAAGTAGATGGTTAGTTATAATTTATAATTATAATTTTACAAATCAGTGGAATAGGTATTAGTAATTGAACCAATTAATTCTAAACTGGGTGATCAACTCATGTTCAACCGGAAACATTTTGAAACGTTTCATAATAAAATGTGTCGATGTCCAGTAAGCCTATGAATGAATTCCGTCTCGATTTGATTCAAGTAAGGGTGGATTAATTATTCTCGGGAGTTACCCAGTTCAATGCCTACTTCCATTGTGAGTCAGCTTGTCTTCAATGGTTTCGTTTCAATATCGTGCCTTGCAACTCCGAATTATCCAAACTTACCAGCTGCTAAGTTCCACCCCAGTGCATATTACCGCTCCACGATTTTCAACTAATTGGAGGCAAATTTTATTCAAGATATGCTTTGGATATGCCAAGTTGTTGGCTTAAATCTTTTATATCTTTTAATTGTAAGCAAAAACTGATTACGGATTCAAATTCATGAAAAATTGAACCGACGAATTTACAAGCAGGTTTTCACCTGGGGTATGAAGTGAGAAGGTAACTGTCGGCCCCTGGCTAAGAGGGGGGGGGGGAGAGGTAATTGTCCAATGGAACGCTAAATGGACTTAATCAAATCAATGCCACGGAAACCAAACAGCGGTTAAATTGGCACCATAATCCCCCCCCCCCATTCTGGGGTGTGCGATAGACTTACCTCCATGTGGTGCACCCTGGGCAACGTATCCTCATACGGCAAAAATGTCTGTAAACTGGCAGTTGTCTTCTGGCTTTACACTACCATCACCCCACTGTATATCATATTCGACTACTTCCACACTACTCACCTCACCTTTATT